AAAATTAACTCAACTCTTGTCACGCATACAAAATGTATTTTGATGTATTGTTGCTGATGAAGTTTCGTTATCTCTGCATGCCTGATTTCCTTTAAGCGTGTTAATGTTCACGTGTATGGCGCTTTATCAGGTACCCTTTGACATCTTCTTCAGCGGAAAAGGGGGGGGGGGGGGGGGTGTGACATCAGTTTATAATAATCTACAATGAGATCATTATTTCACTATTATTATCTAACACGTAACCTACGTTATTTTGTGTATATTGATGATATAAACTTATCGCCTGTGCGTCTGACTCATCGTATTGGTTTGTGTGTGTGTGTGTGTGTGTGTGTGTGTTTGTGTGTTTGTGTGTTTGTGTGTTTGTGTGTTTGTGTGTGTGTGAGTGTGTGTGTGTGTGTGTGTGTGTGTGTGTGTGTGTGTGTGTGTTTGTGCGCGTGTTTCTGTGTAGGCTATGTGTGTTTGTGTTTGTTTGAATGTTACGTTTGCGTACTTGGTTATGTGTCTATTTCGGTATGTAAGGGTGCTTTTTGGATAATATAGGTATATGTGTGTTTCGTGTGTATTGTCATCATTATTATTAGCAGTAGTAGTAGCAGTAGTAGTAGTAGTAATGATAGTGTGTATGTATGTGTGTGTGTGTGTGTGTGTGTTTATTTGTGTGTGTGTGTGTGTGTTGAGGGGGGGGGGGGGGTATATGTGTATGTTGTGGGAGAGCGTGGCGTGAAAGAGGAGAGACTTTTAGATCTAATTCAAGTCCATTCGGGTTTTAATGCAATATTGGCACTTTCATGTGGTTTCGTTGTCACTTTATTCTCTCAAAACTGAGAAGTCTCAAATCAGTAATTACTGTGTTAAAAGCTTTGTTTTCCTTTTAACCACATGAGGGCTTATATCTACATGTATCATTTTGGAGTGGTGTCTTACGAAAAAGTCCACTTCCGATAGTACAGAAGGAGGGTGCGTGTTCAAGGCATTTACCGGGTGATGTGCATATATATATTTTGGTGTGGACTTGACGCACGTTACGATTTCATGCACGCTCCCATCTAGCTGTCCCCGGGATTTTATGCACCCCGCATAATTTAGCAAAATTTGATCTTTTTTTGCATAATTTCTGATTATTTTCCTTTGCCATTCTTTGTTAGAATTTACAGAATCGCATAATTTCACATGTTTGGGCTCAGTTTGCATAATTTCAGAATTTATTTTGCATAAAACAGGGGAGGGGGGGGGGGGGGGGACAGATCTAGGGGCAATCAGGTAAACCGTGAGCCAGTCAGACAGGCTTACATTCCGTGTATTTCAATCTCTTTTCTTTTCTTTTCTGCTTTCTCTGCACCCCTTTCTTTCTGTCGCTGTCTTTTTGACTCTCCCTCCTCCATACACACGTCTATAGTTCTCTGTCTGTTTGTCTGTCTGTCCGTCTGTCTGTCTGTCTGTCTGTCTGTCTGTCTGTCTGTCTGTCTATTGTCAGTCATACACCCTATCCATCAAAATCAACTAGACAAACAATAGACATAACCATAGATGGGGAGAAAATCGAACAAGTAGATCAATTCAAATCTCTAGGGAGAAACAATGAAAGACAATGGCAGAAGTAAAAAAGAAATAAATGTAAGGATAGCAAACACAAACGCAAAATTCAACCAAACGTATAAAATATTTATACCCAGACTATTATCTCGACCTTTAAGAAAGGAAATAGTCGAGAGCTACATCTTCCCCACTTTCCTGTATGGCGCCTAGACCTAGACTTAAATAAAGAAAGAAGAAAACAAAATATCTGCGTATGAATTTGAGATGATGTGCTCCCACAGAAAGGCCAGAATTAGCTGGAAAGGGGAAAAAGACTAACAAGAAGGTGAATCAGATTCTTCACACAAAACAAAATCTGCTTAGCTAGATGAAAAGTAGAAAAATAAAATAATTTGGTCGTATGAAACGCCACTAGACCATTCTGAAGGAAATACTTGAAGGCAAGTTGTGAGGCAAAAGGACCAAGGATGGGCAAAGAATAACGTGGACGACAGATAACACCAAGGCATGGACTGGCCTAAGTATGACAGAGTGTAAAACAGCAGATACCGACCATAAACACTGGCGGATCATTTCACGTCAGCCTCGGAGCCAGAGATGTTACATTCAAGCGCCCAGGTGTCCAATCCACACAACGTTTTCTTGCACGATGGACAAACTGTACGCCTCCTGAACACATCATTCAGAATCCAGCCATCCCCTCACTCCTTCGGCAAACATTCACTTTCGCAGGTTCATGTTTAAAAAAAGATTTAGCCCATTTATTAATTTGCATATGTCCACAAAACTTTACATGGCACTTCTACAGGTCAGTAACCAAACAAAAAGATTTTCCCCCCAAAATTCTTGATCCAATAATTTTTTTAAAAGTTACTCTGTTTGGGCTCTACATTAAAAATCGCTCTTTGGGTGCATGCACAGCATCACTAAAATAAATTATTTACAGTAACCTAACCTACAAATTGCTCATTTTGAGACAGCGACTACCCCCCCCCCCCCACACACACACACAAACACTCACATTTCCGTGTTAGCTTGTCATTAAACAGAGCGATTTGATTTGATCTCGTTTTAACCCACAGTCAGACGAAAGTGAACAAGCTATACTTTGGAAATATAGTTTTTGGACACAGTATTATTAAGGCTAGGAAGGAGGCATGAGATATACCAGCTTTGCAATAGGAGTGTGTTCCCTTACATGTCAGGGCTAAGACAAACTACTCAACTATTCTTTTTTTTTCTTTTCTTTCTTTTTTGGATAAGTGTTTTCCGGCGCTCGCAACTGCATTAGGTCATATGAGCGCGCAGGGACACATAAAACATGTTTAGTTGATAAGAAATTTTGAATTTTGCCCTGGTGGCTGCCGAAGCCTACTCTTATCGATTTTAGACCACCAAGGGATCATTAACGTGCACAACTTGCACACGGGACCTTCGAGATTTTTTCGCCCTTGTCCGAGAAGGCTAGGTGAGGATTTTTCCTACCAGAGGATCAGGGGTGTGGCTGAAAGACAGCAGTAAGAAGGAGCCAAGGAGTAGCAGTAGAAAGGCTGCAGAAAGAGTCAGAAGCCCAGACGAGGGGGTGAGGGGGTAGGGACAGAAAGTGGACACGAAAGCAGACGACAGAACATTGCTAGAGAGCAGGAAAGAGGGTGAAAGAAGACAATTTTAGAGAAGAAATTTTTTTTTCGGTCGCTACCCGGCTTCGAACCCGGCACCTTTGAATGAGAGGTAAACACCTTAACATCAAGGCCACGAAAGCCCCCCCCCCCCCCCACTTATCTATTCGTTGCTCTTAAAAGCGTGCGTTTAGTTTTTAGTACCGTGCGAGTTTTATGACACTTGTAACACAATTAGATCAATATACGTGGCGAAGATCTGAGATATCATTGGAGAGCAACATGCAAAGAAAAGGATGGAGAGGGGTAGTGACGACAAAAAAAAAAGTTTTGTTTGGAAAAGGAGAGGATCAAACCCCCACCAAGGAGGCCCCCCCCCCCCCCCCCAAAAAAAACTAATAAAAGGAGGGGAAAAGGGGTTGCGTTTCAGGGGAAAACACGCCCGAGCCCACCAGAGAAGATGAATCCCAATAGTCATTGTCGGTGTGTTGGATTAAAAGAAAACTGATGGGGGGGGCGGGGGGGGGGGGGAGGTAAGGGTCTCAAAATGACATTTAGCACCACTTTCTGAAGAAGAAAATCATTGTGTGCAGTTAGCATAGAGCTAGACTCAAACATGGAAGATATTTTCCATGGGGGATGAGTTTCGAAAACTAAGATTTTGGGTACCGTAGCCTACTTGGAATGGTGTAGGGGATAGGGGGTGAAAGTACCATCCTGCAGTAAACTGGCCAATTTGACATCATGGCAGTCTCTAAAATTCAAACGAGCTGGGCATGTCGTGCGCGGCCAAAAAAAGCCCCCCCCCCCTAAAAAGGGCACACGAAAGAGCCCCTTCATCTACCTACAAATTGACTCTACTAGGAATTCGAGAAATGTGGCGAGTAAGTCAAAATCCTGAAAGTTGTACACTTTAAATTTGACTGGCCGCACAGCCCTTGGGCTTCTATTTAATCAGTGCCCGGGTCTTGGCAAACAATCTCATCAACCCAATGTTTCCTCTCTGCTTGGCGTGTTCGTTTTTCTGACTGTCTATATTTTGTCTGTCTATATTGCCTGCCTCTTATCATACTGGCACTTACATTATATCGTCGGTTAGCTGTCGAAATGTAGCCTAAAAGTCCAAATTTATTTTTAAAAATGCCCTTTCTCAATCTGTGGTATCGGCTGATTGGGCTCAAGCAATATTTTGTCAAAATTCAAATTCTAAACGTTCAAAATAAGCAAGAATAATTATAATGTAGGTACAGTATTTGTGAAAGAATGAAATCGTTTTCGCTTTCTCAAACACATTTTGCTCTCTTAGCTAAGTACATTTGAAAAGAAAGCCATACTTGCTCATTCGCAAGGACATATTATTATTATGAATGCTCAGCATGCTCACTCCAAGCTGTTCCTACTACACTTAAATATGACTTTATTACACACATTCAACTCACCCTCACCTGTAGCGTTATGGTTATAGTTCTTCGCCGTACAGAAGGTTGACTGTGATAGACGGAAACAAAGCAGCTCGCTCTTTAAATTTGGCCAAGGAACATAAAGAAACTATGATATTACATCTTTATTCTTTTTTGTTTTTTAACCATCAAAAACTGACATGCATCTGCAATTCGAAATTTGCTAAGGAATGCGGATATTGCGATTAAAAAATCCCCGCTCCAAAAAAAAAAAAAACAATTAAAAAAAATTAGATTAAAAAAAATTAGAGCGTGTTGAACGCCCTGCTGGCGAGCTCAAATAGAAACAAAAGCAGAAAAGGAGACTAACCCAACGCTTACAATGTCGTATTTGTCACGAAACAAACGACGGCGAGAGAGTTCTCTCTATAAATACGTGTAATTTGTACCCCCTGTCCTCCGTGAACCAGTCAGTTCAGGTAGGCTACATGACGTATTAAACACAAACTGTCTACACACGCCACACAACCTTCACTTCACGGAGCCTGCTGACCTTTTTCCCTTGTCAAGACTGTCCAGGCAAGTCGCACAATAACGTAGGTTAGTATAAGGACTCAGAGATATAATGGTATATTATATATTATGCTCTTTTTGATAATGATATTGCATGTACTTGCGGATTTGAACAGAAATCAAAGAGAACTTTTGATCAATTCTAGGGCAAAATTTTTGTTTTTGTTATTTTGTCTTGGTGTACTAAAACTAATTTCGGAGCTTCTGTTTGTTACTTTTTTTTCATGGACAGTCATTTTGTTGCTTTTTGTAAAAAAAAAAAAAAGAAAAAAAAAAAATAAAAAAAATCAGTTTCGACATATCTTTTTGTCGTAACGAGTTAGAAACCTAGGCTGTTTTATTTTGTTTTTTTTGTGTTTCTATTGAGACAAACCAACTAATCCCTCTAGTGGGGCCCCTAACAGACTCTCTAGATTTTTTTCTGGGCCGGGTGAGCTAAAATGCTTTATAATGTACAATATGTATGTCAGTATCACTCATAAAGATCAAAATGTGTCAAACTTTTCTGCGCCAGAATTGGTCTCATTGGCCGTGGGAGAAGCCACTTAATTCTTCTCTTTCGCGAGAATTTTTCTTTAAAATCCATTGCTTTTTTATCTAATTTCCCGTCCGTCTATCTCCAAATTTAGTGGCAATAACTTGAGACTGACGACTCCGTGGCTGTGGGTGGTTGGCTGGTACTCTGATGTGATTTGCTCCATTTTGTCAATCAAACATTTATCGTCCTTATTTCTCCTCCTACTTTTCTTTGTGTGATACTCTCCAGTAACCCCTCTTATCCTGGGAACTTATATGACCTATTTGTGTTGGAAAATTAGTGCGTGTATGGGTTAAAGCCCCTATCAACACTGTCAGGTTATATTAGAGGTAGGACCTCCGAATTTAACATAAGTCTCCGACAAGTCCGAGCCAAATGAGCCTAGAGCCTTAAAAACTCCACCAAACGACCGGAGTTCAAGAGTACCCAGTCATGTTTGTGTTGCAAGTACCATTAAACTGTTACTATGACTAAAACAAAAAATGCCATTCCTGGGTTGTGGAGATACGTGGTGAAATTCCGTTAGAGGACGACAAGATGTTCACGTTGTCAGGTGTAACTGTGGGAAGCGGCTGTGTCGTGATAAGCGAGTCGCAGGGATATATAGCGGTCAAGTGCTGGCTCTGGTCAGCTGGCGGCGGGCGTCTGGGCTCAGCTGATCTGTGTGGACATATGTGGGCACACACACAAACACACAAACACACACACACACACACACACACACACATACGTATACACGCACACACACACACATACACACACACACGTACACATACACACACACACACACACACACACACCTGAGAATCCCGTCTCCGGCTGCTCGTGGGGCCGGGGTTAATTGGCGGTCATGGTGGGTTGATCCACATGACGGACATGACATCATGTGCGACCTTGGCTATGTTTCTCAAAAGAAAGAGTTGGCACTAGTGTATCCTTTTGGTGACTTAACGGAATTAGCTCCCCTTCTTCCCTCTAGCCCACTTCAGCCAACCCCACCCCTTGTTCTCTTCTTCCTTTTTTTCTGTTTTCCCCTCCCTTTATCTCTCTCCTTCTCTCTCTCCCCTCTCTCCCCTCTCTCTCCTCTCTCTCTCCCCTCTCTCTCCCTCTCTGTCCCCCCCCTCTCTCTCTCATCTCCCCCTCTCTCTTTTTGTGTCGCTGCGGTTTTCAGTCTAAAACTCGAGTTAACTGCCATTGTAATAAGGGACATGTTGTTCAACACAAGCTTGTGTGTTCAATGAGTGGGTTTCTCCGTCTTACGACTTCCAAAATCAGAGCAAAGGGAATAATTTCACTTGGCCCAAAATTACCCTTTGAATTGCTACAAACTAAATGTTTCTATCTTTGTTCAGGGGATCAAGCCAGTATCTTAATAGCTATTGCAATTGAATGTGTTTCGCACAGCTGATCGACACATTCGATTTTGATCATTTAGGAGGCAGGCTGCTTCAACCTTGTCTGTGAAGACCAAAGTAGGTTGAAAGGTATACAACATCCCAGCAGACAGACAGACAGAGAAACTCGATTTACCCCCCCCCCCCCACTCCCCCTTCCCCCCACACCAAACCAAAGGAATCGAACTCGCGTCCTTTGCATGAGACGGCGAAGTGCCTCCTTTACATAACAGATGCCGATACGGTATTACCAGCTCCATCAGCGTCTATGGTGAAATGCCTGTACATGTACATGTAGAATCTAATGTACTACTCGCCGTTGCACGTAAATGAATTCAATTCCCTTGCTGGCAAAGTCTACTGGATCAAGTATTTTCATAACTCTTTTGAGATGCTGTTTTTACTTTATTCGGAGTTTTCCTGATAAGCTGGGTCGAGGCAAGTGGCCTCCAAAATGATCTACATTGTATCCAATAGCAGCGTTCCTCTGGTCGCTTTCCCTACTTTTTTGTACGTGATATTGTTATCATCCTAGTCTCAGCATTTTGTTGGATTCAGACACTGATAGAGCCAAGTTCTTTTTATTTTATTTGGTCTATCTGTTTGTCTATGCTGCCTTTGCTCTGAAGTAAATTAACAGTGTCGTGTCGATGTACTTTCATTTATAAATTCGAGCTCATACGCATCCAAGTGCAGTAAACTCGAATTGGGGGCCATAGGCCAAGTTATGGGCTGCTGTGCAAAGCTGTACACTGTCACTCATTCTTACGACTGGACTCACGCCTTGAATTTACTATGCACTGAGGCTGAGAGAGAAAAAGATGAATGTTCGCAAAGAAGAGGAGGGGCGTAGCTGAAATCTGACTCCGCGCTGGAAATTTAGGTTCATTTCCACTGCAAACGCTTTGACACAGTATGTTAAGTCATTAGACGTTGGTCTACATACCATTGCATCCTTGCGTTTACTTACAAGGACATTGTTGCCAGTGACAAAGTCGTGTGTCTTTTAATTTTTACTATTTCCGTCAAGTCGCCATGTTACAACGTGGCTTACATTCTCTAATTCCCCACATAACTCCTTGTAAATGTTATCTCAGCTCAACAAAAGCTGATAACTGCAGCCCCTCCCCTTAAGATACCGACTTCTCCCAGTTTACTAAGTTTTTTGTTGTAATACTTATAGCCACAGTTGGTCTTTACATTTATGCCGAACAGGGTTAGGAATTTGATCCAATCACGAAAGCAAGGTAGAAGTTGGGTCCGAAAGTTTTTATCCTTTTAATCTGTCCCTTTGGCCCGTCGTACTGAGAAAGGACAAAACAATCCCTCACACAAACGGGTTTAATATGACGTCACACTTCAACATTTATATATTTACATCTCCTCAGAT